TAGCGATGCAGTTAGTCGAAACGAGTCCGACTTAGTCTCATTAATAGCAGTCCAGTTTAGTTCAGTGAAACCTAAGAGCATCCCTAAAGGAGATGTTAAAATTGCCACATAGGCATACAACAATAAAAAATGACAGCAAACTCTCTCCAAACGAGCCTTCAGTTTCTTAGGTGGTGCTAAGTCATTTGAAGACAAAGTCTTTCGCTGTCAAATTTGACAGCAGATGTCAAATTTATTAAATGATATTTTAATAATTAATATAATATATAATAAATGTTGTTATATTTTTGAAATATTTGATTGGTTGCTTTAATCATTGGACTCTACAAAAAGATAAAAAATTTATTAAATGACATTATTATTTGACATATCGGGTGGAGCAAAATATTATACAAAATGTCAAATTGCCATATAATTTATCAATTATCATTTTGATATTTAAAATTTGACATCTCCTTTAAAGATGTCAAGGATGACAAACAAATGAGACCTAAAAGTTTGGTGTTCCCGTGTCAGGCACGAGCCATTTAGCCTAAAAAACGACATTAGTCATTAAAAGTTTGGGGTCACCGTGTCAGGCACGAGCCAATTCCCCCCAAAAACGACATTATTCATTAGGGTTGGCATAAAGCCAAACACTCTCCAACATCCAACAAACTTCCACTCTGCAAACTTCGCGGTTTCAATGGCTGCCCTAACCCGCCTATCAAAACCCTCCTTCTCCTCCGTCTACCGCATAAGCCGGTGCCTGTACTCAGGCGCTGCCCCTGAGAGCCACCTCTCATGGCGCCTCGCCTTACAGCCGGCGCTTGGGGCCCACGCCCAATCTCGCCGTCAAGGATCCCAAGGACCGCAGCGTGCAGTGGGTCTTCCTGGGCTCGCCGGGCGTCGGAAAAGGCACGTACGCCAGCCGGCTCTCGAATCTCCTCGGCGTTCCTCACATCGCCACCGGAGATCTCGTCCGCGAAGAGCTCGCTTCCTCCGGCCCTCTCTCTCAAGAGGTTTTTGAATCTTCTGATTGCTTTTTTTTCTTTTTCTTTCTGTCAGATCTGCATTTTATTGGGTTTTGATTGTCTGCGATTGTTTTATGGTGTTGTAGTTATCAGAGATCGTGAACCAGGGGAAGTTGGTGTCTGATGAGATCATAATAAACTTGTTGTCGAAGAGATTGGAGGCTGGGGGAGCTAAAGGGGAACTGGGTTTTATTCTCGATGGTTTTCCTCGAACGATTAGACAAGCTGTAAGTGTTTTCGCTGGAATAATGTGATTCAAAGTAGTATGAAAGATCTTTGATTTAGAAATGTATGTGGGTTCTTTGTGATTTAAACGAATTTGATTGATGTAAATGAGTAATTGACTGATTGAAAGCTGATATCTTGGAATTATGAATGCTACGTTGTATTGAATTGGTGAAAATGTGCTTGAGGATTGATTGACTGTAACTATGTTATGTGTATTAGGAAATATTGGAAGGGGTGACGGAGGTTGACTTGGTGCTCAATCTGAAGCTCCGGGAAGATGTGCTGCTCGAGAAATGCCTTGGGAGGAGAACTTGTAGTCAGTGCGGTGGAAATTTTAATGTGGCATCCATTAATGTCACGGGCGCAAATGGTCATCCTGCAATTAGCATGGCTCCACTTCTTCCCCCTGCACATTGTATGTCAAAGCTTGTTACTCGAGAAGATGACACTGAAGAAGTGATTAAACATCGGATTCACTGTGTACAATGAGAAGGTATTGCTTTATTTTCCTATCATGTGATCAGGGGCATATTTGAATAACATGTTTAAATACAAAAGGTCGATGAGGGCAGAAGAGAGAAAATAGTTCTTTTCCATGTTATCTTCAATTATTCAACTTTGATAAATTTTATTCTCAATGTTCTCGCAGAGTCGGCCTGTAGAGGAGTTTTACCGTAGTAGGGGGAAACTGTTGGAGTTTGATTTGCCAGGAGGGATACAAGAGTCTTGGCCCAAGTTGCTTGAAGTTCTTAATCTCGATGATTACAAGGAGAAGCAGTCTGCTGCTGCATAATTTATTATATTGCACCTTGAAAAGGTGAACACGCCATTATCTTGACACGTAAGGTGCGAGCTAGGGTTTTGGATAATTTCAATTTTTTGGAAGGTTGTTTTTTCATGGAGAGAATTCAGTTATATTGCATCGGGAGCGAGTCTTTCCGTTACTATTGTTTAGTTGAGCGGATGATTTATTTACCTACAATTTTGGCAGCAATAAGCCCCGGTAAAGGAGGCTGAGCATACTGTATTCTTGTAACGTATAATTGATTAATATATAGCAAATTGCATCCTGTAGGGCTCAATAATTGGTTTTGATTCTCAACTGAAAACTGTTCCTATGATTTTTCGTTTTGTCCTCTGCGATGCGACTTGATATTTCGTTCTTATCTTCTTCTTTTTTTCCTTTGAAAAGTGACACACACAGTACTGTAGTATAGTATCAGATGAACGACTCATGCTAAGATATCCGATGTTATGATACATGCTCATTTTGTCCTCTGCGACTTGATATTTCGTTCAACATTGTTTGTTTCCATATTTTTCTTGCCCTGGCCGAGTTGATTGGCACTAGTTCTGCCAATCATCAAGTAATCAGTTGCAGACATTGAATCTCGGCACAATACCAGCTCTTGACTGCATAAGTTTAAGCGGTTTCAAGATAGAATGTGCCGTACATTTGAAGTGAAAAATCTTTTCACACTTGCTTTACAATTAGATCGTAGTTATAATCCCAGTGCTTAGACTTTATGGGGTTCTTATGCATTATGAATGATTGTGTTTCTGAACTATTAGTGGGTTATACTTTGTCTCTTTCAATTACAGCTGAAACTTTGAAGAGGAAGATCAGATTGTAGAGAAGATCCATGTTCGATTCTTGGTGGTTTTTTTGGTTACTGGCTAGCGGATGCGTTGATAGTTACGCTGCATGCACTTTGTTGTTGTTGAACGTTGCGAATCTGCCCGTGACAAAGATTGTACATGTCCTTGGAGTCACATCTTTAAACTTTGTACTAGATTAGGATATTAGGTTGTCTTTGTTCCTCTCATTCCAAATGTTTTCCAGGCTCGCTCTCTCGTATTCCAGTTTCTCTTTTCCTGGTTTCGTGCATGACGACGCCGTATGATATTAAAGCTTCAACAACGTTCTGGGTTTCTCCCTTAGGACTTGATTTATTTGTATACCCTATGGAAGTCTTGCTTTTTATAACTGCAGCTAAAATTCTGCAGACACCGTCCATTTCGGTGCCAAACCATTGCCTACCTCGGTGATCACTGATCAGACAGTTTCAGTTTAAATATTAGGGCTAACTATGATTATGTTTTCAGTAATCTTATGTGTTGCTTATCATCTCAAATCGATCCAATAACTCCAGTTCTGGTTTCCTTTACCCACCTCTACTCCGCCTTGCCGACAATCGCTGAGGTTGGTTTAGGGACGATGAAGACTGTGAAACGCCTCGACCATATAGAAACTCGAAGGTGGTGGTGTCGATCGAATTTAAACCATGTAAAACGGTATAACTCTAACCTAAAGTATAGACGCTCGACGTTTTTCGTTGAAGACCATTCTCTTTCACAAATTATGAATACTCCTCCTCGTCGATGCACTGCATTTTTGTGGTCTCTTTGGAGAAGGATTTTGTACATCCATGGAATCGCAACTACATACTTTAGTGCTAATAAGCATCTCCTCAGGAATATGAGCAAGCTCTTTGAAACCACATCCTTTTCTGCGTCCACATAATTTTGCATCTTCTTTTATCTATGTAGGGTTTCATTGTTGATGTCACTTTGTACTTCGGTTTAGTGATGTTTTGCTTTACTTATTTCTTGGTTCGATTCTCGCCAAAAGCGAATTTGAACTACATTATTGCTAACTCATTGTGAAGTTAAACTCATTCTCTCTTCCTTAAAATAGGTAATATCGGTTGTTATAAAATAAAAATAAAAATCTTCATTGTTGGATAAGATTGGGATTTGGGAGGCAGTAGCAGGGCCCTAAAATCTACCAAAAGAAGATATGTGAGGTTTGCAAAAAATGTGTTTCTATTAAAAGGTAAAGCACTATGGAGCATGTTGCTATCAAAGTGCACAAGGCAATGGGTAGGGTTTGTCATTTACCCAAAAGTATTCAATGATATATTTCATGAGGGGCCTACCCACCATTGTTAACAAGACAGTATCATTACAAATTTGAAAATTAACGAGGATAATATTTCAACCATGAACTTTTATTAGTAAATTAAGAATTTAAATTTTTTAAAATTGGCCAATTACCTCCTGCTGTCTAATTTCATTTATACATTTGTTAGAATTAAGTATAAAGTAGTATTTTCATCACTAATTTTAACATGTTGGCAACACTCACTAATAAAAACACGTCACGTGAAAATATCTACAATTCAGATAACTTTTTTCTTTGTAAAAATGAAATTTTTACAATAAAAATACATTATTTGTAAATAAAAAATAAATTCATTCCTAAAATAAAAGAATGTATTATTCATCATGCAATCCTTTCTAGTTGCAGACCCTAATTTAGGATATTTTCGGACATATTTACTCATATGACCTGCTAAAATTCAGACCCAAAAGAGGAAAAGAAAATTGACACAAAGCATGAAAGCACTTGGGGTGGGGGACATTTTTGTCAACTTACAAATAATGGACCCGACACCCAAAGGAGGCAGTCCCAGCGATAACGACGTTTCCCCTCCTCTGTACTCGCCATCCAGTACACACACGTGTCAGAGATCCGATCCCAGAGATCTTCATACCCGCCAAGCGAGTCCTTGCGCTCACTGCTTTAGATTTCGTCCACCGCAGCATCCCCTCGGCCCCAATTTCCGCCAAGCTGGAAATATCTTCCTTCCGACGTGGTATTCTCGAACGTTCTACTTCTACTGCATCTCCAGCCCTTGTTTTGTCCACGTCAGCAGTCCTTCAGCTCATCTCGGAGCTCATATGTTTTCCTCCTCTCTCTCCGCTCTCTCTCCTCTCTCCTCTTTCCCTGACGAAAGGATCTCTCTCTCTCTCTCTCTCTCTCTCTCTCTCTGTAACTGTTTGCACAGTCTTATGTTTCTTGGTCCGGTCAAGTTTGTCGGAAACACAAAATCTGAAAATATCCGAACTGAGACATTTTTGGAGATCCAAACTTAGATTTTCAGGATTATTCTCTGACGTTGTTATTAACTTTTAGTTACAATGATTTTCTTGGTAATTTCAGTTCGGATCTAGGTCACTTATGGCGATTAATGAAGCTTTGCAGGTGATTTCTGCCATGTTTTGCTTCTTTGATCTTATAATTCTCCGTTTGTTTATTTATTTATTGTTTTTTAGGTACTCTGTATTAGTTGACTGGAAGTTCTTCCAAGTTAATTTATTATTTTTAGTCATTGAAGAATTGTTAATTTAAATGTTTAGTAATCTAAAATCAGAATTTTCTATTGATTTTATGCATATTTGGAATATTTGTTGATTAATCTAATAAGTATATACAGTTGCAAGTTCTTGGAGTAGCAAATTTTCTCTTTATTGAGATTTTTTTTTTTTTTTTAAATTTCATACTGGTAATTGTCATTTCTAAAGAAGTGTATGTTTTCTTTAAGAACAAATGATGTTGGTAATGTTTTGTGGTGGATTTTTTGACTGATATGATGTTCTGGTCTTACAGGGTGAAAGCAATTTGTTGGGTTTCAAGCCGTTTTTAGGCAGCTAACAACGTTTGGCGTTTGTTTCGCATCCATTGTGTATATATTCGGTTATGGATTTGCTTTCGGCATCACTCTGTAATCGGTCAACGCACTTTGTGTTAGATTTACAAGGGTCTGTAATTGCGGATGTTTGTTTTTGAAATCAGCGCTGTCCGCTATTCTTTTTCCCGATTCAAGAAGATATTTTTTTCGTTCTGAACTTGGGCCGTGTTTACTGCTAGTGTTTTGTGTCACTAACAGGGAGTGTCCTGATGAATGTTAATAGTGACGAGGACAGACAACTGTTGGAACTAAACCACCGCTCATGGGAGGGGGAGGGGGAGAGGGGTAACAATGGAGTGGAGGATGAGGAAAGGAGGTTAGTCGAGGAAGATGAGTCGAAAAGTAATGGAAGAGCTGGAGATGTAAAAGGTCGGCTAGGAGGGGCTGTTCAAGCCCAGACTGTTACTCAACAGCCTCAAGGGTCGGCGGTTTGCTGGGAGAGGTTTCTACATGTAAGATCTCTTAAAGTTTTGCTGGTCGAATATGATGATTCTACTCGCCATGTTGTCACCGCACTGCTTCGCAATTGCAGCTATGAAGGTTAGTAACTTGACTTCCGAGAGCCCTAGTGCTTCATTATGCATGACAATGTCTAGGAACTGCTGTTTATGGAAAAATTGAACGGATGCATTATCAACTTTATGGGGTTGTTGATTTTCTTGTTAACTTGACTTCTCAGGGTTCGCATGTATGAGCCTTTGTTTTTTCTTCACAAATAATGCGGAGGCTATCATCGGATATGCTATTATATGTTTTTGGTTACTGAATAGCATAAATGTGTATGTTGGTGCATTTGAAATCAACGTTGTTAGTAGAATCATTTGTCATTGCAAATACATGATATATCGCTTCCAATTTCACACAAACTCGTACACTGTCATTATCAGCAGACAATACTACTTTGTGCATTAATCACTTCTTCTTTATATATGTATATTTTTTAGTCTGAGGATGTGATACTTAAATCTTCATAATTTCAGTGATTCCAGTAGCAAATGGAGTGCAAGCATGGAAGATTCTTGAAGATTTGACTAATCATGTTGATCTAGTCTTAACTGAGGTAGTCATGCCTTGCGTATCAGGCGTTAGCCTTTTAAGCAAGATTATGAGCCATAAGACACGGAAAAATGTTCCTGTGATCAGTAAGTTCTTTTCTCCATGACCATCTCATTAACAACTGTATTGAGCAGTGATCTCCGTTATGAGGTTTGATGCAGCTTAGAAAGCAGACATTTGATTATGCCTTTTGTTGATATGTGTGTGCAGTGATGTCATCGCATGATTCAATGGGCCTCGTCTTTAAGTGTTTGTCAAAGGGTGCTGTTGACTTTTTAGTGAAGCCTATTCGAAAGAATGAGCTTAAGAACCTCTGGCAACACATTTGGAGGAGATGCCATAGTGTGAGTCCTTAAAACTTTTTGTTCTGGTATTCGAATGTTTGCCCAAAAGTGTGTATAATTCTGTTCATTTCTTGATTTTTTTTTTCATCTTTTTTCCACCTCCCCTACCTGATACATAAATTTCTCCTGAAATTTAAAGAAAGTAATATTTTCTCTTCAGATTGGAATTGAGCAGCACTAATGTTGATGAGAAGAGCTTTATAATTATATGATGATATTTAATATGTTTGCTAAATGGTTATGGTTGTTTCACATTGCAGTTTATATTATGTCTCTTACTTTTTTTGTATGACTAGTATCTAAACTTTGTTTTTTCAGTCTAGTGGTAGTGGAACGGGAAGTGAAAGTGGCAATCAAACTCAAAGGTCTATAAGATCAAAAAGTGTTGAAAAGTCTGAGAACAATAGCGGAAGCAATGATGAGGAAGATACTGATTTGAATGTTGGAGATGGAAGTGACAATGGGAGTGGCACTCAGGTATGTTAGTTATTGGATACTAAATATCTTGATGGTACATACCTATTACAAGAGTGTTGCCGACATTAAGGACAATCCACAAATTTGCAGATATGCCTAAGGATATAACGCTTGGGATATGAGTTCTATTTTTGGGGGGTGTGTGTGGACAAGTTAAAGGGGCTACATTAATTCATTTTTTTGTTGCACAGTCTCAGTATCAATTTTATGATCATCTCCTTAAAGAAAGATTAAACTGTAAATTCAAAGAATGACCTGGACTCAGATATGTACGCTGCAGTCTCACTGTGTCAGTGCGTTTCATTTTGTAGAGTTCTTGGACAAAAAGAGCTGTAGAAGTTGACAGTCCGCAACATGCGTATTCATGGCCCCATCCCGATAGTACTTGTGCCCAAGTAGTTCACTCAAATGCCGAATCACTTGGTAATAAATTGGTTCCTGCAGCTGCAACAAGGGAGTGCCAGCAACAGAAGGAACAAAATGGTATTCCTGGAATTATTTAAAGCTGTGTGATTCCATGTGTGCTAAATTCAAATGTTATTATGCAATTTCGTTATATAGTGATGTGTGTGCGCACGGCCCACCTAATTGTATGTACGTGCATATGTACTTATTTTACTTTCTTTGTGATTAGGCTGTATTTTCTATTTTCAGACAACTTTGCAATGGGAAAAGATCTGGAGACAGGCCTGACCAATTTTGAAGAATTACAGCATGGGCAGCGTAATGATTTTTCAACAAAACTAGCAGGAGCAAGACAGAGTAATCTGCTTGAGATAGGTTCCAGTAAACTTGACAAGAAAATTGATAAGGGCAAGCTGAACTTGAATCGTGAGAGTCCTTCCAGCATGCTAAAGTATGATGGTGCTACAATGACAGGTGTTGTAACTAATCTCACTGATTCCCAAATGGACAACACACAATTTGAAGCTTCTAACAGACATTATAACGCCTTAGACGTTAACAATAAGGCGCATAGTAATGTTCATGAAATGTCATCCGTGGAGCTCAGTTTGAAAAGGCTTAGAGGAGTTAAAGGCACTGAGACAACAGTACAAGATGACCGCAATGTGTTGAGACGGTCAGACTCTTCAGCCTTTTCAAGGTATTAGGACCATGGAGGACCTAGAAGTTATTATTATCAGTGGAAGTTTGAATCTGCGTTCACTTGAACTTTCTATATTTTCCTTTACCATGTTACTTCCTGTGCAGGTATAACACAGCCTCAAATGCTAACAAGGGTCCTTCTGGGCATGTTGGAAGCAATTCTCCACATGATAATAGTGGAGAAGTTACAAAAAAGGAATTCTTTCGCGACATTCGATCTCATTCAAGAGATAACCCTCCCAATCAATGCTCAAAAGGAGGCAGCAATATCAATGATATGGGATCCACTACTAATAATGCCCTTCCGAAATCTCAAGTTGCAAACAAGTCAGCAGCAGCATCCACAGTCCAACTTTTGCATCCGTTATCTACTTTCCATCCTGTCAAGGACCTTAAGAGTGCTACCGAACATGTTATAGTAGATAATTCTAACAATGTGGAAACAACAGTACGGGTTCAATCAAGAGGACACTAAGAAGCAACTCCAAATCCAGAACCGCCATCATGATTATGATCAGCATCGGGTCCATCACCATGTTGTGCACAATATGCAAGAGCAACAGCTGCGTGATAATAATGATTTATCTTTGAAGAAATTGGCTGCAGCTGCCCCACATTGTGGATCATCGAATGCCCTGACCGGGCCTGTTGAAGGTAACCCTGAAATTATAGCATCAATGGGAGTGGTTCAGGTAGTAACCATGGGAGCAATGGGCAAACTGGAGGCAGCGGTGGACATAATGTTGGAGGTACAAAGCTAGAATGTGATTATGGAGTTGCTGGGAAAAGTGGAAGTGGTGATGGTAGCGGAAACCAGAGTGGAAATGGAGTAGATGAAAACAAGTTCAAGCAGAGAGAAGCTGCCTTGACCAAGTTCCGTCAGAAAAGAAAAGAGAGATGCTTCCGAAAAAAGGTAACTAACATTCAGTTTGCAACTTTACATCCTAATAATAGATCTAAATAAGTGCTTATGAAAAATTTGCTCGTTCCTCCTTCTGTACGTGCAACATTTATATTAAATGATTAAGTTCAATCTGTTAAATGTGCCCTTTCTTGCATTTGCATGTTTGATTTCCTTCAGAAGGTTGCCGAATTCTGAAAATAGGAGAAAATATAGACAGCTTGTTGAATCTGATTTTCGGTTGGTTTTTCAGGTTCGGTATCAAAACAGAAAGAAACTGGCAGATCAACGACCTCGAATTCGAGGACAGTTTGTGCGGCATACAATGAGCGAGAACAGGATAACAGATAGCTAACTCGGGCACTTCCGGTAACATAGGTTTGAAACTTGGTGATTACCTATGAGCTGTTATCAGTTAAATGCATATGTATATTTTCTTGCAACTCTTATGAGCAAGGTACTACGTAAATATTTGTGTAGACAGATTTGGAGGTGTAGGACGTGAGAATTCCAGACAAGACCACACCTTGAAGCTGCTGTCGATTAATGTGGATTTCAAATTGCTTCTTTAAATAGGAGGCCATCGGCTTTATGCCATCAGTGTCCCTTTATTTCGTGTTAAAGAATAAAATATCTTCAATGCCTTCTCTAGACTATTGGCTTCTCGGCATTAGGCCGAGAGCCGGCCAATATTTCACTTGAGGTTAGGTTGCTTTCACCGGAGAATAATGTGAGTTCTGGTCTCTCTCTCTACCGCAGGTGGGTTGGCCAAGGCAGTTTGCCCGCCATCTTGAATCTGAGTTCAAATTTCCCTCTTCGTAAATTAGAGTAGTTAAAAGTAAAGCGTTATTGCTTTACCAAGGTATATACATTAACAGATTGCATGAATCAATGGAAACCAGTATGTTAAAATTGGAATTGATTTAACGTGAGAAGGAGAATTATGAGATTACTTGCAAACCAGTGATTTTTGCACTCTTCTTTTCACCTCGTGCACGTGCTCCCTTTTATCCTTTTTATTTATTTTTTTTTTTATTCTTTTTTAATCAGCGGATTGAACAAATCAACAAAAAATCAACAGACAAAGTCAAGCGAAGAAGTGTATAAAAATGGAGTGAGTTTCTGCCACTTCCCTTTCTTAAAAATACAGGCAGTTGGCACATTTTGGATATGGAGGAGTAAAGATCTGGGTTGGGCCTAGTTTGTCTATGATTAGAATTTTTGTTTTTCGGCCCTTGGGCTCTAACTCTACCCAAAAGTGGGAAAGAAAGAAAAAAGGGAAAATAATAAACCTAATAATCTCCTTTATACGTAATTGAATTATCAACTTTGACATGATATCATTAAACTCTAAACCTGATCGGACCGCCATCGGTAAAGCCACCAGCTGGTCTTCTTTTTTAAAAAAAAAAAAAAAAAAATTATCATCGGAGCCAACAGTCCTGAAGAAGGGCAAAACGTTTGCCGTGAACATCTACATAGACGTTTGTATCATAAAGTTGTTAGTGATTTGAATAATTTCGAGTTAATTCAGGTGGTAAGAATGATGGAGAAAAAAGAATCAAAATTAAGATAAGTTAAGGGTTCGGTTCGTTCATCACACGAAAGATAAAGTTAATACCGCAATGTAATTAGTTCAGCTTACAGCATATATTTCAGATACAAATTCCTTGTACTTTTCTTGGTTGTCTTTGTATCTATTTATTTTCCATTTTTTGGGTACGCATTGTTAGTTCAGAACTCGTGAGCTTAATTTGTTTGACTAGGAGAAGTGTTAAAAACAACTGACAAACACGATATGCTTTTTCTCCAAACAAAGTACGATGTGCTTTGCTTTGTATTTTTCTTCCTTGTATGCGGGAATGTCTTAAAGTTTCTGTTGATTGGTCGGATTCAGTTGGAAAAAATCCAAAAGAAAAGGCCATTTTATAGTCCTCATCACTGTATTTGCTAGCAATTTTTTTTTTATTTTTATTTTTTTAAAACGAAACGATAGCTTTATTCAAGGAAGCTTACTTAGGATACAAATTTTGGTAGAGTACGTCTCTTATAATGTCAAGAGTTCTTCAAACTAAACCTTTGAATCAACTCTATGTAAACTTGACTTGACGGGGCGATAAGCCATACTATTTACAATTGTGCGAGGTAAACAAGTTTTTACAATCTTGGAACTCAAATGAAAGGCCCTAGACATCCAACGTTACAAAGTTGATCCTAGACACGTCCTCGGATGTCCTTGTGCAAGCAGCCACCGCCTAAAGAAAGTCAAACTGTCACATTGAGCTAAAAGTCCACATGTCCGTTTTATTTGATGTGGTTAATTTTTATCTCAATAAGTAGTTATTTTAATTAATAACATATGTTAGGTCTTCCAGTTAGATTATGACTATTTAAGATATCGAATTCATCAAAGAATTTTTATCCATTCTTCTATTCAACCATGCAACAAATTTTCGACCTACAAAAATTTGTATCTCAAGCAATTAAGAGTATATTTTTATGACCTTATGTGCGGAATATGTGTTTGATTTCTCCTTTTGTTTCCACCACAAGTTGGAGATAGTGTTCTCTATAAAGAATAGGACCTCTTGACATGTTCGAGCTTGACCTCCCTCTTTTTTTTTTTTTTTTTTTGATAAACTGGAATTTTCATTACCAAGGCAAAAGCCAAAGAAATTCACATGAGAGCCCACGAGAGGCAAGCAAGGAAAACATCAAAAATAACTAACAGATAAGATTGGAATAGGGGATACATGAGATGACGCCACAATAATTGCAAGCGTCACCCCACCTACTCCCTAAACAAAATTAGGCTAGAGGAGGACAAGGCAGACCGTCCTTGTTGAGGATATGTGCCAAGGAAGATGGGGCCCTATTGACCCAAGTGTAAACGCGCATCTCCAGGAATTTGATTAACCTCCTTCTTTGGGTATATGTTACTTACATGTATGAGGGTATTTATTGTTGAAATGTCTCACATTGACCAGTATCAATGAGAAAAAAAAAAGAGTTTAAATATCATAACCCAACTCTAACCAATACCGAGGTCTTTTGTGATAAAATCTCACACCTAACGGATTGTGCAGGTGGTAATTACCAGTACGAACCAAGTTGGGGACAATAGTGGTGTTGTTGGAAGTGGGTCTTCAGCCGTCTCTCTGATAATTCTAAATGGTATTAGAGTCAGGGAACGGACCTGTACTGTACTGCCACGTGATGGGTGGGTCGCCTTGGCCCTGCGTGTAGGGTGAGTCCCCTTAGCTCCATGTGGTTGTCGATGTGTGAATCTCCCACGTGTGACCCACTAATCGGGAATCGGGTCCCATGTGAGAGGGCGTGTTGAAATGTCCCACATCGACCGTATCAATGAGAAAAGAAGAGTTTAAATATCTTAACCACACTCTAACTAATATCGAGGCCTTGTGATAAAATCCCACACCTGACGGATTATGCAAGTGGTAATTACTAAGTTAAAGATAATATCAGTGTTGTTAGAAGTGGATCTTCAGTCCATCTCTCTGATAATTCTACATTTATAGCATTTATTTAATTGCGTTGAATTGATGAACTAGTGAAGATTAGTCTAATCAATATCTTATTTAATAACTATGCTCGAAACTATATAAATAAATCACTAACATGCACCCGGTGACCCGGACCTGGCTTCTCTGCCCTCCAAGAAAAAAATTAATATAAAATATTGACGTAACTTAACCTTGACCGCATAAAATAGGAGAAGATGAGAATGTATGGAAACTGGAATGGCAGAGAAACCGGGTCCCGCTATCCATTCCCAGGTTCTAATAAGTTTCACTGGTGCCATCATCCTGCAGCCTTGACAGTTTCATTGATGTGCGGAGCCCCGCACAATTCCCAGAGGATATATAATACAATCTGTGTGACAGGTTTGTTTGATCAGCATGATTTGGTTTATTTATTTGTTTGTTTAATTTCCTTTATTTTAATTGATTAAACCTTGTATCTCGTAGAAGAATTGGGGTAATGCTCATAATTAAACAATTCTCTCATGTATTAGTTAAACATATAGCCAATAGTTATTTACTTGTGCACTGAGTTTAACATTCTTACACATTGCTAACCTAGACAACAAAGGTGGCATGTGTCGGTATACGCGTGAAAAGTTTCATTGTGAAATGTCTCCTTTTGTCGCATTTGAGTGATTTTTCAGATAAGTTTATTTGAGGATCATTTGTAGGATCCATTTTACATTGTATGTGAATGATCTAACCATTATTTTTATATTCTTCCCTCAAATATTATCTGTACTTATCAAAAATTGTTGAAACACTTAACCGTTGGATTAAATGGTAGTCATATTAGTGATTTCTTGATAAACTGTATTCGTCTATTATCTTCAGTATAATTACATGCCTTAATGGTTTTTATTTGTGTAACAACCCGTTCCTAATTTTACGATTTTATTAATTTTAAAAGAGTGAATTGACGAAAATGTCCCTAGAGGCGAGGGTGTTGACTTTCGTTGACCAACGTATAGTGAGACGTATGAAACATTCTTTTAGCGTATCGTCATAGTACTCGTCGCTACGAACGCGTAGGCATACGCGCAATCGAATTTGGAGTTACAATAGACATTTTACGAACTTACGAAGTGAAGGGCGACTTGGTAATTTCATGTTTATAGATATTTTGTGGCTTGTCTTGTGAGCCATGTGGGCCCACACCTCACTCCTTCCCTCTCTCCCATATCTCCCAATCCCCTAGAAAACCCATTTTTTCAACTTTCTCCACTCATTTGCTACAACCTCATCTCTTCTTCCTCATTTCACTCTTTCTCACCTCTTAGCTCCCACTCGTCTCTCTCTTTCTCTACAAGTGCAGAAAAGCTACCTAAGGCACACACCACTGAGCCATCACCCCAGCCATGTACGACCATCGCCAATTCGGTGAGCCTCAGAACCTAGACCATCTTTCCCTCGACCCTACAAAGTTAAACCAAGCTTTAGGTTACTGAAAATCATGTACAGAAGCTCACACGGAGCTCTGTTTGAAATCTGAGTTTTTCGGCGTGGCTACCAGTATAGCGACCTTGTGGCAACACGTGCAGGGGCACGTGGAGGAACCCGATGTCCCTTCTTAGGTTTCTCAACATGTTGAACCCGAATCCACTGTCCGTTTTCTGAAATTCGACCATTTTAAAATAGTTCCTTTATTAGTCGTACTTTATATGAAAATGCATTTATACGTTACTACGTTAAATATTTACGTAAATGGTTTCGTTTCTAGGTGATGCGCCTCACAAGGATTCTCGATGCCCGCGAGGTGGGTTCGACTCAACAACATGATTTGTGAGTGGGTCTTTTCTTTGATATAGTATATATATTTGTTTAGTTTTTATATGTACATCTAATAACGAAATTTCTATGTGATGCCATAATTAAATTAACGTTTATAGGAAATGGCGTAACGATGAGAATTAGGAAATCATTATAAATCCTATGGGATGCCTTAATTAGATATACGGCTATGAATAATATTATGTTGACTAGAATTATCGAATCACTCTAGCATGACTATATTAATGTTATTTGCTCATCGTGTGCTGCATCGGTGTTAGTACTCGCCCGAGATCAGGGCCTATCTTTCACGTGTATGTTCACATCAC